AATTGTTATTCAGTGATGCTGGTTTTTTGCATATATACTACACATAGTATATAAATAGAATTCATTAAAATGTAAGGGATAATTTTTACATGTGTCCATATTTCGGTGTGAGATAATTTYATATAGGTTTTGCCAAGCGATTTTTAAGAAGACATTAATTACTCCTAAAATTTGTAATAATTACTGATACTAAAGTATTATGATCGTCGATGGTGCTTCCGCATTCTATAGATATTAGATAATAGACTTAATTATTTATGGGCATATACATATATATAGGTATAGCCGCGTATAGGGATGTCTTATCCATGCATATATTATCTATGTTTATGGGCACCTACTTAGTTCTTAACACGATTAAAGATAATATAATATAATAATATAATTATCTTTAATCGTGGTTCTTAATAATATATAAACGCAGCCACACAGACTTCTATACTAATCTTAATAAAGTACTACCGCCATCAGTTTACGCCTGATTGTCTAGTTGGCATTGTATAGAATTTAATATATGATCACATAACATGCAAGGCGATTAGGATGKTAGTTCTTATTTAAAGAATTGCTAGTGAGTTTGAATTAACTAGATCCCTAAAGGCACTGTATTGTGCGTTGGTTAGGCCCATCCTCGAGTACGGTTCCGTGGTATGGAATTCCCAATAATCACTGGTCCACTCCCAATCTATTGAACGTGTCCAACGTAAATTTCTCAGCTTTGCTGGGTTTAAACTTAATATCCACCCTCCTCCACATGACTATGGACTAGTGTCACATAGGTTGAATCTATTTCCACTGGCAGATCATCGCTCTGCTCGCGACTAGCTCTTTCTTCTAACCCTAATTTGTGGAAAAACCGATTCACCATCTCTCCTTCAACATAATTATATTCATTTCAGGGTCCCCGCACGTCATACTCGTAACGTTGTCCCTTTCGCTATAACGRCATAAGTTTAGCGCCCCCTCGAATTTTTCAATTTTTTGAAACACTGTACTCTTTGAAGTTTGTCCGACCTTTTGTTTTACATTCTAACATTGCATACAAAAACACACATTTAAAAATAAAAAATAAAAAATATTAAATTCTTGGTATTTATTTTAAGAAAATATGAGTAACAAAAAAAATGAAGTTTTTGAAGTTTTTCATTGATAACTTCAAAACGAAGTCTATCCAAACTTTTTTTTAYAAGCACCCTAAAACCTTAGACCATATACTATGAAGTATGTATGGAGCTACAGCATATTATTTTGAATTTTTGATATCGATACTCAATATTAGACGAGTCTCTGAATTAGGAGTTCGATATGCGCATGTCTGATTCTATATGCACGTGGGCGATACATTTAGTAGTCATTTGCATTTCGTATTCATAACATAAAAATATTATCCTTTGAGGCTTTGACTATATAATATACTCATATAGTCATATAGAGTCATATATAGTCATATAGAGTCAAAATATAACAATTTAACATGTGGTCATGAATCATGGTAAATAAGCGACGAATGCATCGCGCATATCTAAGTATCTAACACCTAATTCGGTGACTCGTCGTTGATATCGGCTTCATTCTTATATCATTGATTAAATATACATAGATAGCTCACGCAATGATAAATATTGGAAATATATATTTAATCAATGCTTATATATTGGTATAATACCGTGACAAAATTTATTGCATTTATTTTGTCATGTATAATAAGTCTTCAACATTTATTTCATCATTTTGGATTCGTGTACATAGTTCTTTCAATCTTTTTTCGGTAGTTTGGGTCAACCCTAATTTTTTTCTTTTATTGAATGGCTCACCTACCTAGATCTGCAGCTACTTCATTTTTAATTTTTCTAATTAACTWCCRTATTGTTGGATGTTTTTGACCGACTAAATGTGCAAAGCGATTGTTCCATCCTTCAKTAGGATTGTTTGTCCTGTGGCTACCATGAAGGGTTGTATCATGAACATTCCAAGTATTAGGTGGAAACATAGGTTGTAGTCTTCGAAGA